GAGCTAAATACGATGGTTTCTTCCAACTTTAATTTCTATGATTCCTAGGCTCATTTATTAAATGAGTAATATTTGAGATCACAGCATGAACAGATTATGGGCTTTGAAGAGATGCATTCAGCAGCTATCTATTAGAAAAAACAAGACATGTTCAGTTACTACTCTTAGAGAATATTTTCTGATGCCTTATGAAAGGGGTATAGGACTAGTGAAGGGCCCATAGAGGTGCTGTTTTGAGTAGAACCTAGAAGGATGGGTAATTGATAGGAATGGTACAGAGAGACTGCATCACACTGAGAAGGGCATGGGCAAAAAGAGACAAAGCTGTGTTTAGGAGTGGCAACTGCAGCAGGTTGGGTGGAATGTTAGTGTTCATGAAGGCAGTTAAAGATAAGCTGGAACTCCACAAAGGGGATGGTTAGAAGGCTTAAAACACAAGCCATTTAAATAGGGTAGTAATGTGCATTAGAACCAATAATAGAGTGGAGCAACGATGACCTTCAAGTTGAAGAGAACTTTAGAAGATGCTTAATAACCACCAAATAATAGAGCTCAACCTATAAACCACATTAATGGTGTCTTGTAAAGGATAATGTCTAAAGCTTCCATCAGCTGAAAAAAACTGGTCTTTAACTGGTGGCAAGAAAAGAGCTTATGTCTACCATTCTGTTGCCTATTTAGGGATTAGTAACCATACTATCTCACCAGACTGATATAAAATAATCCACTAGCATGAGCCTTGCGACTAAATTGTAATCTTTATTTTCTACAATGGATTTGAAATCTTGCTCCCACCCATGCATGCCAGTAAGGGAATCTTGTCTATGCCAGGCAGAATGTATTACCTAGCTCCAGGCACAAACCAAGGAGTATACCTAACTCACAGTCTGTCATAAGGGCTCAGAGTATAGGGTCCTCTGATAGTCTGTGTTTAAATCATGGCTTCCCCACCCCCCCACCTAGCTGTGTAATTTTGGAAAAATTATTCAAGTTTCCTACCTGGAGAGTTGAGAATAAATATGTGGTTGGAAAAGGGAGGATTAGATAATGTGGATATTCTTTCTGAATACTAACAATAAACTGTGACAAGTAATAGCTTCTTGAAAAGTTGCAATGTGGAATCTGAAACCATATCAATAGAGTTCTTGTAATTTATAACACTAAAATCCATTGGTCTTTCCTATACTAGGAATGGCTATTTTACCTATGCAGGAGTTTATAACAGCAAGTACTGACCTGTGGAAAATATCATTCACTGAGTTATGCAGATCTTCAAAATCATTTCATAATGTAAAAAAAAAGCCCAGTTGTTAACATTACCGCAAGTGTTTTCAGAAAACTCTTCAAGTATTCAGATGTCAAGCTCATAATGATGAATATAAGCTTACCAAAATTTTAATTTGAAAGCTACAACTTTATTTGAAATAAATACATCAGATTCGTATGACAGGATCACTGTTCATTTTTGAGTACCATAGACTTAATAATCATAGTTGGTCTTACCCTTCTGTTCAAGTAAAAACCATATTCTATGAAAAAAGTTATGTCAGACCCCAACTGAAAATTCCACTTCTGCAAAATAACCATCATGTTTTGGTATGTAGAACTGCTTTACACATAATACCCATTTTATCACTCAGATTATTAAAGACATGTACTCAGGTTGAGATATAAAAAAAATTTTAAATGCATGGTAGTAAAAATGCAATCAGTACTACTGGCAGTATGTTGCTATGCCTTGATTTGTGCTAATAAGATGGCAGTAGTTTTAGCCACCACTGTTTTTGTACCATTCATGCAAACGTCAACATGTGTTACAAGTTCTTTGTACATTTTGCCCACAATTCTGTCAGCTTTATACATTGCAAATAATTTCTCCTCTGGTTTGTCATTTTCTTAACAGTGTCTTCTGAAGAGGTTTCTCAATTTTATTTTCCACTGATCCATTTTTTGTTTTTAATGGTTTGTATTTTTTATTTCCAGGAAATCTTTGCCAATCTAAAGTCACAGATTTTTCTCCTGTTTTCTTCTATGTGTTCTATTACTTTTAGGTCTATGACCTTCTTTTTTACTTATTTGCATACATTGTGAAGGGGTGTAATGTCTGTTTTTCCAATAAATATCTAGCTGTCAGTACCATGTTAAAAAAAAAACAATTTGAAAAGGGTTTATTATCCTTTATAGATGTTAGAGTCAAGCTCGTAATATTTTCAAGATTTTATCCCTATGTTCTTGAGGACTACTGTCCTGTGATTTTCTCGATTTATAATGTCTTTTGTGTTTTAGTATTAGAACACTGGCCTCAATTAAATAAGTTGGAGATACTTTATTTTCTGAAAGATTCTGGGTTAATACTGGTGTTATTTCTTCCTTGAATGGGTAAAATTTACAAGGGAAACCATATGGAATTGTAGTTTTCTTTGTGAGAAGATATTTAGCAATAGTTCCAATTGCATTAATAGATGTGAGGCTATTCAGGGTTTTGTCTATTCTTGTGTCAGTTTTGGTGAGTTTTATTTTTCTAATTTTCCTTTTATCTAAATTGGTCAGTTTATTGGCATAAAAATAGTCATACTTTTGTATCCTTTTAATTTAGGTAAAATCTTTAGTGGCAACTTCTCTTCCATTCCTGATACTAGTGCTTTGTAATTTCTCTGGTTTACCTGATTGGTCTAATTTGTCACCTACCAATTTTGTTGCTCTTTTGAGAACCAGATGTTAATTTATTGATTTTTCCCATTGTTTTTCTTACACATTTTTTTCCTACTCTCTATTATTTCTTTCTATTTAATTTGGGTTTACTTTGTTCTTATTTTTCTAGGATACAGATAAAGATTGAAAGTTCATTTCATTTTTTTATTTATAATGTGTTATACACATCCAGCTCTAGAGTCATTCTTCTATATCATTTATATCATTTTCTGTTTTCTACTAGTATTTAAGTCTATCATTTTCTAAGAATTTTTTAATAACTGAAATTATACACCGATATTAATTAAAATGGAAAGTATGATCCCTGGTCATAAAAGAATTAAACTAGAAACAGTTGAAGAAAGCTACCTAGAAAATGCCCAAGTATTTGGAAATTAAGAAATATACTCCAAAAACATCCAAGTCAAGGAAGAAATGTCAGGGCAAATTAGAAAATATTTCGAGCGTAAGATGAAAATGCAACAAATCTAAATCTGTAAGATAAAACAAAGATTATTCAGGAGGGACATGTACAGTGTCAATTACTTATCAGAAAAGTTAAATACCAAGTTCTCAAATCTGTAATCTAGACTTCCACCATAAAACTAGGGAGAAAAATAAGCCCAAAGCAAGCAGAAAAAGGAAATGTACTACAAGAAATCAGTGATTTGGAAATAGGAAGACAACAAAGTAAATGAAACAAAAAGCTGGTTCCTGAAAAGATATTAAATTGACAAACCTCCAGCAAGATTGACAAAAATAAAGAGGACACAAATTGCCATTATCAGGACTAAAACCAGGCCTATAATTTTAGAACCTTAAGAGATCAAAAGGATAATAAGGAAATACCATGACACATATACACAAATTTAATAATTTAGATCAAATGGAACAATTTCTCAACACAAACTGATGCCAGGGTTCTTGTTCACGAAGCTGAAGAATGAGCTCCACAAACACTCAAGGTAGGAGAGCAGGGTACAGGCTTTTATTTAGAGATAAAAGTGAAAGGACAGAGCTCCTGGCTCATGCTAGGAGGTGATGGGAGTGTCTGGGGTGGTGCGTTGTCTAGGGGTTTTATGAGCAGTTGAGGATTTTTTGAGAACATGTAAAAAAGCTTAGGGGTGTGGACTTATTAAGTGGTCCCAGAATATTTAGAATTAACACAAGTAACTTTCTGCTCTGATGATTTCTCCCTGAGATACCAGCATTTTGGTCTGGAGGCACATGAAACAAGGCCACCTGCTCAGCCCCCAAGGAGGGCTGAGGTATTATTTGCTGAAGAGTGAGTTAAGAATTTCTAATGTCTTAACTTCTTGGGTATTAAACTGCAATCTTATTTTTAAGGTGGAATCCTTCTTGCCTTTTACTGTGTTGTTTATACCTGGACTTAACATGATAAATTAGTTGCCCAGTTTGCAAAATCACTTCATCAGATCTGAAGGAGGAAAGACAGCACATAGACCTGGGCCTTTTAGCATGGAAATTTATCTGAGGAATATTAACTGATCTCACTGAAGAATGACTCTAGAGCTGAATGTTTAACACAGAGTTTTAGTAGGGGGTTTCCTTGCATGTTAGTTACATTGCTCTGTCTGCAAATATCCTGCCTTGCTTTTTCTGGAGGACCTCACCCTACTCTGACTATACCCATGGTCCCTATCTCAAAACTACCACCAGCCACTCAGTATGAAAGTTTAAATAGACCTATAACTATTAAAGAAATTGTAATCATTTTATTCCCAATCTCCAGACCTGGATAGTTTTGCAGAATTCTACTAAATATTTCTAAAGAAGAATTAACACCAATTTAATATTGTAAGAAAAATTCTAGCCAAAATAAGCAGGCGACGAGAGGCAACAAAGGGCCAGGCAGTTTATTTGAGCGCAATTCCCAGGTGATACTCCCCCATTCGGCTATCACAGGCTGGGGAAGTCAACTCCGCAGGGCAGGCAGTGAGTTTTTAAAGGTATGGGGAGGGAGAGCTTAGATTTACAGCGGAGGCGCAAGGACTGGCTAGCCTAAGGCACATTTTTCAGGTTGGGAGAGGGCAGCAGCCGGGGACTTTGGCATGTCATCAGTGTCCGATGTGCTCCCCCCTCCACCCAGTCCCTTCAACCCCCAATCCTCCAGGGAAATGGAAAGTGGGAGTATTCCCTAAATTTGTTTTTTAAAGCTGGTAAAAGCCAAACAGATGGGAGAAAAAAAATAATAAATCTACAGGCCAATGCCCCTTATGAATATGCATAAAAATCATGACCCAACTATCAGCAAATAGAATCCAGCAAAATAAATAAAAAGAATTCTATACCATGACCAAGTAGGGTTTATTTCAGGGGTAAAAGACTGGCTTAATATTAAGAAATTGAGTAATGTAATTCGTAATACTAAAGGATTACAGAAGAACTTATACAATCCTATCAATCAACATAGCAAAAGGATTTGATAAAATTCAATACCCATTCATGATAAAGAAATTCCCTTCTGTTCCTAGTTTGATCATATAGCTGACATATTTAGTGGTAAAAGACTGAATGCTTTCTTCCTGATTTGGGGATAAAAAGGCAAATACATTCCAGCTCTCATCACTCTTTTACAGCACAGTGCTGGAAGTTCAAGCTAGTGCAGTAGGATAAGGAAATGAAAGGCATACAGATCAAAAAGGAAGAAACAAACTGCCCTGATGTGCAGATGGCATGACTGGGGGAGTGCTGGACCTTAGGTTACTCCACTGATTAGAAGAGGGATTCTTAAGTTTTTGCTTTTCCATTTGCTGTTATTTTAAAATGTCAAAACAAAAACAAAACCCACAAAGAATCTTCTCTTCAAATGTTTGGGGTTCTTCCAAAGATTATTTTCATATGTTGTACATACTGCTTATCCTGATAGCTCTTAAATTTATTATGTACAATAAATGCAAATGTTCAAGCTGTCAGGGAAGTAGTATATCACAGTTCCTGGAGACCAACTACCAAGATTTGTATCTTGACACTGTCACTCACTGACTGTATTATCACTGTGGGCAAATTTTTTCTCTGCTCAATTTACTAAATCATATAATGCTGATGACAATGGTTATGATTAACAACTTACCACACTGGGTTTTATTGGTATTAAATGTGAAAACATGTGCAACTGAGTATAGTGTCTCATGTACAGAAAAAGCTCAATAAGTATCACTCATATTATTGTAAATATGTGACATATCCCCTCTCCCCTTAATGTCTTCCCCCTAATCAAAGAATGACATTACTCACAAAAATCTAATGTTTGAGGATTTTCATCAAAGAGGAAGATCATATATGACAAAAACTAGGAAAGCAAACAAAATTTGTAATAAAGAAAATTAGTACATCTGACAAAATATTCAACCCCCAGCAAGCAATTAAAACAGCAGTGAAGTACCATTTTATAACTGCCAAATCAGAAGTATTCTAGTTGCAGGCCAGTGCTGACTAGGCTGCAGTCAACAGGTGTACTGTATTGGTGACTGAACTGATGTAACTTTTTTAGCAATTTGCATATATCTGAAAGGAAATTTTAAAAAGCACGTCTGTTACATGAGATGCTAGACTTGCTATAACTTAACATTCATAGTTTTGTCTCCCTTTCTTCCCACAGTGAACAGAGCTAATTCCAGATAGAATCTTTTCTAATGTGTCCCCTAAATCAGCCATCAGTGTTCTCTGACATCCTCAGATACATGTGAGAATGAAAGATGAGAACTGTTACGCCCAAGGTCAAAAAGTATGAGCATGTATTAGGGAAAGGATAACACAAAGGAACTAAGACACAGTATCGAGGAGGACTATGGGGCCAAAATAACATTGCCAAGATCAGGTTGGGTCACGTCAGTACTTTGAAGATACAGTTTGGAGAAACTGTCCTGGTGAGGTACCTGGAGATGCTAAGAATGATACACACTAGCCTTCTGGTATTAGTTCCATCCTTTGAGTTCTTAAAGGAACTTCACCTTTTGAACTGGAAAGCACTAAAAAATACAACAATCATTAAATTTTGAGGGGTTTTTTTTGGTAGAACAGATGGATCTATTTATTTATATATCATACTGCAGGAAAAATACACATTTTGTTTAATCTGGGGGCTCCTACATTCTCATTCACTAATAGCTTGTTATTGACTGGATTATGAAAGGGTTGGCAAAATTTTTGAAAATATTAGGAGACTTCAGATAAATGTGCAGCCAACATGCAACATACCTTCTCCTAGCTTCTATTAAAAACCCAAAGATTTTTTCTAAAACTTAAGATTGCAAAGACCATTTACTAAGCACAAAGGAACATGATATTCAAACATCATTAAAATGAGAGAGATTTTTCAAGACCTCTTTCCCGTCTGAGTTTAAATCAGGGACAAGAATTGTGTCCTCAAGGAACTAACCAGGAAATACATCAGAGCTGCCCTGACAGCTTTTGTGTTCCCTTTGTTAGTCCAGCTACTTTGTTTACAAATCTCCTTACCAAATGACTTCATTAGCAATTGAAAACACACTAATATTACCTTAGGAGTTAAACTAATTAAACGCTATCAGCTATATTTATCCTATAATTTCATCTATTTCTTTCTATTTTTTTTTTACAAGCAGAATTTATCACCAACCAGTTATCTCAAGCTAATAGATACAAAAGACTTGTGTGAGAAGAAGCATTGATGATATGCATAAAATCACAACCACAGTAATTGGACCATAGTTAAGAAAAAAGGAATCTATGCTTATTTATAAATGATTATATAAAGGAAGAGACAATATGGGTTAAGCAATGAAATAATATTTACATGAGCAAATTAAGTAAATCCCCAGTTCTTAAAAAGTTTGTTTAAAAAACAGGTCAAGGTGAAGGAGTAAATCTGTACTTTTAACTGCCACATATGATCATTTGGGTTCTTTTGCCTTGGATTTGGTTTCCTTTGGAATCTTTCCATTCTGACATTGAGTAAACCTGGCTACTGTAGAAACACCATCCACAAACTTCGTCTTGAAAAGGACATTTGCATTGTTGAACATACCTTCCTTTAGAGACACCACAATGAACTTAAGGGAAAAATAAAAAAAGCATAAAAAATAACTTTTGTAATATCCTTGACATTTATTCCGTTTTATACGAGAGCTAAGAATTGTTTGGAGATATTTTGATTTTGTTATTTCTTTAAATGCAAAACTCCAAGAATATGCACATCCTAAAATGCAAGTAATAAACAGTTATACTAGTTACTTAATGCTAGCTTTCCATAATTAGTTTCAGCAAGTCTCTTAATTTTGCCTCAAGTGGTTCATTACCCAAGTTTACTATTTCCTCCTGGCTGAGTTCTTGTTGTTGTCTTCAGCATCTGGTATCAGTGGTTTTTTGCTAGCTCTAAATGCCCCAGTGAAATGTTTTTCTATGTACTTTTAATAATACCAAAGAAGGCTTCAAGTTCCTACAGTACTACCACCAGCTCAAATGGAGTACTTGTAGAATTAACAGTTAATGTTAATCTGTAACACTTCACAGTTAAATGCTATAACACTGCATACTAAATACAGTCTATGATAACTATAAGTGAAATGCCCGTAGTCGTACAATGCATCATCTATATAACCATTTTTGGCAGCCTCAGTTCCTAGACCAACAGTTTAATGAAAACAAAACAGTTCTTAGCTTAAAGGGGGCTTTTTCTACTTTCTAACCAGGAGAAATGAACAGTACCCCAACAAATGCCACATGATTTTCTGATACCTGGGTATAGCCCTGCATAAAATAGTCTTGTTTTGATTGTGCATCGTCTGGCAGCTAGAGAGAATAATTACATTACCCCTAATTTCAAATTATAAAAAAATTAGATTCTCCCTCACACTACAACCAAAAATTGTAATGCCTGGCTCTTTAACAGGAAACCAAACCCTTTTTCCTTCAATACCTATTTGAATGTAAGCATATATTTGAAGACATAGACAATGCTTTAGTATTCTCCAATTCTAATATCTTGTTAATATTGACCACTACTGAATTGTTTAAGAAAAACAAATACTGAAACTATTACTGAGACATTTGTTCTGGTTCTTACCTGAGAATGTGTGAAATGAGTATGGAGCATCTGTCCGATATTCTGGGTATGAGAAAGATCCAAGGCTGCATCTACCTCATCGAGGATATAAATTGGAGCAGGTTTGAAGAGGAGCATGGACAATATTAACGACAAAGCCACTAAAGACCTAAGAAAAGGCCAGGAAAAAAAGCTATCAAAACTCCATTTTACCATGTTTTACTAAAACATTTTATCATTGTTTACTGAAACAAATCTGCTATCCTGTAATTAATAGTGCAGACTTAGTCAGATAAAAAAATCTTAAGTTTCAAACTGTAACCCTTTTGTAGTATTAAAATTTTCCTTATATTTTCCATTTTTCTCCTCTTCAACAAGTTTTACATGGAACAGGCTTATATTCTTTCACCAAATAATAAGGATCTTTAAGAAAAGGTCATGTTAGTTAATAGCTATTTTGCTTCTTACCCAACTGCTGGTATCAGAAACAGCTAGATAGCAGGTCAGTGAGAGCTACATTCTTATACTTCTATTTTTTATTTTTTTGGTATCATTAATCTACAATTACATGAAGAACATTACGTTTACTAGGCTCCCCCTTCAACAAGTACCTCCCACATCCCCGTTCACAGTCACTGTCCATCAACAAAGTAAGATGATGTAAAATCACTACTTGTCACCAAGTTCACAGTCACTGTCCTTCAACATAGGAAGATGCTGTAGAATCACTACTTGTCTTCTCTGTGTTGCACAGCCCTCACTGTGCCCCCCCAACACTATACATGCTAATCATAATGCCCCCTTTCTTTTCTTCCCGCCCTTATCCCTCCCTTCCCACGCGTCCTCCCCAATCCCTTTCCCTTTGGTAACTATTAGTCCATTCTTGGGTTCTGTGCTTCTACTGCTGCTTTGTTCCTTTAGTTTTCTTTTGTTCTGATACTCCACATATGAGTGAGATCATTTGGTACTTGTCTTTCTCCACCTGGATTATTTCACTGAGCATAATACCCACTAGCTCCATCCATGTTGTTGCGAATGGTAGGATTTTTTTTTTCTTAGGGCTGAGTGATATTCCATTGTGTATATGTACCACATCTTCTTTATCCAATCGTCTACTGATGGACATTTAGGTTGCTTCCATATCTTCACTATAGTAAATAGTGCAGCGACAGACATAGGGATGCATCTGTCTTTTTCAAACTGGAGTGCTGCATTCTTAGGGGAAATTCCTAGAAGTGGAATTCCTGGATCAAATGGTATTTCTATTTTGAGCATTTTGAGGAACCTCCATACTGCTTTCCATAATGGCTGAACTAGTTTACATTCCCACCAGCAGTGTAGGAGGGTTCCTCTTTCTCCACAACCTCGCCAACATTTCTTCTTGTTTGTCTTTTGGATGGTAGCCATCCTTACTGGTGTGAGATGATATCTCACTATGGTTTTA